ACTGGGTTCATCCAGTTCTGTACTGGAGAGCCAGTGTGGTGTGGTTAGGGTGGTTAAGACCGGGTTCGCATCTCCGCTCCTCCACATGCAGCTGCTGGGTGACCTTGGGCCAGTCACACTTCTCTGAGTCTCTCAGCCCCATTCACCTCACAGAGTGTTTGTTGTGGAGGAGGAAGGGAAAGGAGAATGTTAGCCGCTTTGAGATTTCTGAAGGGGAGTGAAAGGCGGGATATCAAATCCAAACTCTTCTTCTACTGCCCACGCTGACTGGCAGTGGCTCTGTCCAGAGTTTCAGATAGACCGTCTCAGCCCTACCTGGAGATGCCGGGGATTTGAACCTGGGACCTTCTGTGTGGAAAGGAGGTGCTCTTAGCTGCTGAGCTTGTTTAAGCCGTGGTTAAGACGCACTTGGAAGCAGAAGCTCTCCGTTGTCTGTACTGGGCTGCCTTGGCACCATCAGGGCAGGACTTTAGGACAGGGGTCAGCAGGGGGCCGGTCCACTGTCCCTCAGACCTTGTGGGGGGCCGGACTATATTTTGAAAAAAAAGAAAATAACGGATTCTTATGCCCCACAAATAACCCAGAGATGCATTTTAAATAAAAGGACACATTCTACTCATGTAAAAACACACTGATTCCCGGACTGTCCACGGGCCGGATTTAGAAGGCAATTGGACCGGATCCAGCCCCCAGGCCTTAGTTTGCGTACCCATGGTTTAGGGCATGCATCCTAAGGAAGCCCCTCAGCAAAATAAGCAGGAGGGCTCCAGGCATCTAGAGGGGTGCCTCTATTAAAAAAAAAAAAATAGAGGGGTGCCTCTATTGCTTGCACATACCCCAGTCACATCATGTCCAGACTCCAACGTTGTCTAGCGGCACCATGGTTGGGCTGAAAATAATAATAATAATAATAATAATAATAATAATAATAATAATACAGTGGTACCTCTGGTTGCGAATGGGATCCGTTCCGGAGGCCCGGTCGCAACGTGAAAAGCCTGCAACCTGAAGCGCCATATCTTTGCAGGTGCGTGGCACAATTTAGCACTACTGTGCATGCGCAAGCGGCGAAACCCGGAAGTAACCTTTTCCGGTACTTCTGGGTCGCCGCGGGACGCAACCTGAAAAAAGGTAACACGAAGCAAACATATTATTATTAAGGATTTCTCTTTTGTTATTTTGGTTGCTTATATTTACCTGTATTTGTTTAAAGCAAAATAAAAGATTATTTTTTAAAAACAAACAAACATGAGGTATGACTGTAATAATAAATTTATACCCTGCCCATCTGGCTGGGTTTCCCCAGCCACTCTGGGTGGCTCCCAACAAAATATTTAAAACACGATAAAATGTCAAACATTAAGAACTTCCCTGAACAGGGCTGCCTTCAGATGTCTTCTATAAGTCAGATACGTTGTTTATTTCCTTGACATCTGATGGGAGTGTGTTTCACAGGGCGGGCGCCACCACCGAGAAGGCCCTCTCTGCCCGGTTATCTGTAACTTCACTTCTCGCAGTGAGGGAACTGCCAGAAGGCCCTCGGAGCTGGACCTCAGCGTCTGGGCTGAACGATGGAGGTGGAGATGCTCCTTCAGGTCTACTGGGCCTTTGAGGCCATTTAGGGCTTTAAAGGTCAGCACCAACACTTTGAATTGTGCTCGGAAACATACTGGGAGCCAATGTAGGTCTTTCAAGACCGGTGTTATGTGGTCTAGGTGGTCACTCCCAGTCACCAGTCTAGCTGCCGCATTCTGGATTAGTTGTAGTTTCTGGGTCACCTTCAAAGGTAGCCCCACATAGAGCGCATTGCAGTAGTCCAAGTGGGACTAAAACAACGACAATACACAGAGGTGTGGTTGTCTTCTGATTGACAGGTACACCTGTCTTCATGCACAACTGAGTTAAATTTCTAAGTTGCTGAGAAAGCCACAGAACAACTGGAACATTATAACTGACTCAAAATGTGGAGTTTTGTTGTTGTTTTGTGCAGTGGAGGGGGGAGGAAAGACCTGGAGATTGTTCTCAGGTGAGCACAGACACACACATTGGCTCTCTTGATCCTGCTGGCTGGCAGAGGCGCCCAAACATGGTTTTCAGCCATGCTGTCATCCAGCATTCCCCAACCTGGTGCCCACACCTTCCAACATTTCTCTGATGAAAATAGGGACATCCTATTCAATCATAATCATAATCTGCCCTTCTGACTTGGTTGCCCCAGCCACTATAGGCGGCTTCTAACATATATAAAAAACATAATAAAACATGGGATAAATTTCCCTATGCTGGGCTGCCTTCTAAAGGTTGTATAGTGACTTATATTTTTTCCCCAATTTTTTTATTGATTTTCCAAAATTTTAAACAAACAAGCAAACACACAAAAATCATAACTGAACTTGTCCAATCTTGTTGTTGTTTAGTCGTTTAGTCATGTCCGACTCTTCGTGACCCCATGGACCAGAGCACGCCAGGCACTTCTGTCTTCCACTGCCTCCCGCAGTTTGGTCAAACTCATGCTGGTAGCTTCGAGAACACTGCTCAACCATCTCATACTCTGTCGTCCCCTTCTCCTTGTGCCCGCCATCTTTCCCAACATCAGGGTCTTTTCCAGGGAGTCTTCTCATGAGGTGGCCAAAGTACTGGAGCCTCAGCTTCAGGATCTGTCCTTCCAGTGAGCACTCAGGGCTGATTTCCTTAAGAATGGATAGGTTTGATCTTCTTGCAGTCCATGGGACTCTCAAGAGTCTCCTCCAGCACCATAATTCAAAAGCATCAATTCTTTGGCGATCAGCCTTCTTTATGGTCCAGCTCTCACTTCCATACATCACTACTGGGAAAACCATAGCTTTTATTATACAGACCTTTGTTGGCAAGGTGATGTCTCTACTATTTAAGATGCTGTCTAGGTTTGTCATTGCTTTCCTCCCAAGAAGCAGGCGTCTCTTAATTTCGTGGCTGCTGTCACCATCTGCAGTGATCGGTCCAATCTTAGTAACATTGTTAAATGACTTCCTCAAATTCCCTTCACTGAATTTCATTATATATCATTGTAACGGTTTTCCAAAATAAAATCTCATAAAATTTACTTAGTCCTCTTAATTTATTTGTTTCTTTTCATCTTAACTTTAAACATGTTGTTCTATAACTTCACATATTTAAATCCTTAGCCTATCTATTTTTTTGCAGTATAGTGACTTTTCTCCTTGGCTCCGGGGTAGGATAACTCCATACCCTCCAAGTTTTATCGGATGAAAATAGGGATGTCCTCAGGAAAAGCGGAAACATTCTGTTATCAATTCAGAAACCGGAACACCTTCTGTAAATCAGGGACTGTCCATGGAAAATAGGGACACTTGTAGAGTCTGGGCGCCCTGTAAGAAGAGGCCTGCTGTTATCAGAACAAAGGGTACCCCTCTAGTTCAGGATTCTGTTCCCACAGCAGGGGTGGACTTTGGGCTTTCCAATTTCAGCGGCACCCTGGGCCACACGACGCCAGCCTTCAGCGCCCCTCCCTGCCTCTCGCCTCCCATTCTACATCATTGTAACCTTCAACGCCTCCCTTTCCATGGAGGCGCAGGTTGCAGCCACAGCAAAGGTGGCATTTTTCCATCTCCACCGTATTAAGCAGTTGGTCCTTTACCTTTCTCGCCCTGATCTGGCCACAGTGATCCATGTGACGCTCACCTCCAGGCTTGATTACTGTAACTCGCTCTATGTGGGGCTGCCCTTGAGACTGACCCAGAAACTCCAGCGGGTGCAGAATGCTGCAGCGAGGCTCCATACAGGGTCCTTGCCGCGGGATCACATTCAACCAGTGCTATACCAACTGCACTGGCTCTTGGTGGAGTACAGGGTCAGGTTTAAGGTGCTGGTTTTGTCCTTTAAAGCCCTATGCGGCCTAGGACCCACGTACCTACGGGACCACCTCTCCTGGCATGCCCCGCGGAGGACCTTAAGGTCCACAAATGACAACACCTTGGAGGTCCCGAGCTGCAAGGTGGTTAGATTGGTCTCACCTAGGGCCAGGGCTTTTTCAGTAGTGGCCCCGACTTGGTGGAACGCTCTGACACAAGAGACCAGGGCCCTGTGGGACTTGACATCTTTCCGCAGGGCCTGCAAGACAGAGCTGTTCTGCCTGGCCTTTGGCTTCGACTCAGTCTGACCCTTATGTTTCCCTCCCCTTATGGTTTTGATCTATGGGCTACTTTTAAAATGAGGCTGCATTTTAAATGGCATTTTAACCTGTATTTTAAATTGGTCCCCCCCCCCATTATGTTTTTACTGTAATTTTACTGGTGTTAGCTGCCCTGAGCCCGGCTCTGGCTGGGGAGGGCAGGGTATAACTAACATTTATTATTATTATTATTATTATTATTATTATTATGGCGGTGGCTCCCTCTAGGGCTCTGCGCCTGGTGTGGGCGACCCAGTTGCGCTCCCCTCAGTCCACCTCTGCTCCAAATGTGCCAGCCAGGTGCCCCCAATGGAGAAACCAGTGAGCAAGACCAGAGGGCGACAGCAGCAACTCTTCCCAGTCTCAATTCCCAGTACAGTAACCGGCATTTCAGAAGCACTGCTGCCTCGGACAAGCAAGAGGAGAAAACATGTAGCCACTGCGCCATTACGCTTTAACGCGCCGTCCGCGTTGGTGACCTTTTGAGTTTGCAGAACCCAGTCTCTGCCCCGCGAAGCTTACAATTCAAATGGTGGCAGCTGTACCTCAGAGGGGGAATGAACGCGAAAAAAAATGCAGTTTTAGGATGAAGGTCAGTGCTCGGAGGCGCAAGATTTGGGCGCGCCTGTGGTGCCACCTAGGGGCGAGAGATCTGGGTTGACGAACCACACTCCTTTTTTTACGCTTCGTTTTTTGCACTCCCGGCTCCAAGAGGATCCCTGTGATCTGTCGTGATTTGTTTGCCCCCCTTTTCTTTTGGTCTTTTGCTCCCCCCCTCCCAGCAGCGCTGCACGGCGACTCACAAAGGATTAAGGATCGCCTTGCTCGCAGGATCCAGATCTCTCTCTCTCCAATCCGCACCTCCCCAAGTCCACACCCTTCTCCTTTGATCCCGGGGCGTCTGAAGCTGCTGTCCGCCACGTGGAAACTGAGCACAGGGGCCCAGGAAAGAAAGAAAGAAAAAGTGATGGGGAGAAACGTCCCCAGAGCGCATTCTCTGTAAAAAATAAAAGCTTGCAGTCCTCCTGTACGAGGATGGGAGGCAGGAAAAGGAGCAGAGGGCGGGGGCGCAAAGGGGACTTTAAAAAAACAACACACCATTGCGAAGCTCCTCCTTGGACGACCTTGATGAACTTTGCAAAGGAAGGAAATCACGGGGTGGGAGGGCAGCTGGTCATGTGAGGCGAGTCCAATAAAGGGGAATTTTGCTTTGCTTTTTCTTTCAATTTGGCTGAGAGACACTTCCCGCAGCCGGCAGCTTTGCTAGACCAGGTTTAAGTGAATCAGGAGAAGCTGGGGGAGAAATGGCCTCACCCTCCTCTCCTTCCAGGCTCCTTTGGGGGGTCTTGCTCCTTGCGCTGCTCTCTCTGGCTCAGGCAGGTGAGTGACCGTCCTTCCATCTTACTGTAACTTGCTCTACGTGGGGCTGCCCTTGAAGCTGACCAGAAATACCAGCGGGTGCAAAATGCTGCGGCGAGACTCCTTACGGGGTCCATGCTGGGGGATCACGTTCATCCTGTGCTATACCCAGTGGAGTACAGGGTCAGGTTTAAGGTGCTGGTTTTGACCTTTAAAGCCCTATGCGGCCTAGGACCCTCGTACCTATGGGACCACCTCTCCAGGTATGCCCCGCGGAGGACCTTAAGGTCCATAAATAGCAACACTCTAGACTTCCCGGGTGGGACGCGGGTGGCGCTGTGGATTAAACCACAGAGCCTAGGACTTACCGATCAGAAGGTCGGCGGTTCGAATCCCCGCGACGGGGTGAGCTCCCATTGCTCGGTCCCTGCTCCTGCCAACCTAGCAGTTCAAAAGCACCTCAAAGTGCAAGTAGATAAATAGGTACCGCTCTGGCGGGAAGGTAAACGGCGTTTCCGTGCGCTGCTCTGGTTCGGCATGTTGGCCACATGACCCGGAAACTGTGCGCTGGCTCCCTCGGCCAATAAAGCGAGATGAGCACCGCAACCCCAGAGTCAGTCACGACTGGACCTAATGGTCAGGGGTCCCTTTACCTTTTAGACTTCCCGGGCCCTAAGGAAGTCAGATTAGCCTCAACCAGGGCCAGGGCCTTTTCAACACTGGCTCCAGCCTGGTGGGACGCTCTGTCCCATGAGATTCTTTCCGCAGGGCCTGCAAGACAGAGCTGTTCCGCCTGGCCTTTGGCTTGGACTCGGTTTGACCCTTATGTTTCCCTCCCTTTATGTGATCTATAGTCTACTTTTAAAATGAGGCTGCATTTTAAATTGCATTTTAACCTGTATTTTAAATGGCTTTCCCCCCTTCTTCTTCTCCCCTCACCCCCATTATGTTTTTACTGCAATTTTTACTGGTGTTAGCCACCCTGAGCCTGGGGAGGGCGGGGTATAAATAAAATAGATTTTCAATTTCATTGTTCTGTATGGGACAATGACAATAAAGATATCGTATATCATCAGTCTGGAGGGGGTCCTAAATTTTGGGATGACACCACCCTGGATCCTAGTCAGGGGGCATGTTCTTATCTTCACCCCATCCCCAGATCAAATCGCCTTCAAGGAGGCTATTTTGATTGCAAAAGACAGCCGGAGGAGGACAGGTCTTGTGACCGTTGATTCTATCAGTTAATTATTCACCATGTGAAGAAACCCTCCCTTTTCCTCTCTCCTAAATCCACCGCCAATCCATTTCATCGAGTTACCTGGAGAACAAGCTTTGGGAGAGAGTGGCGTGGAAGCAGTCAGCTGCAGGACACCTGCTTTTGCACGAAGAAGATCTCAGGTTTAATCCCAGAAGGTCAGCAATGTCTAGGCAACACGATGGCCATGTACATACGCAATAGACAATCTTGATAGAATTGCTTCAAACCATAACAAGTCCAAAATGAAATCTTTAGTCTCAAAGTCTCTGAAAATCTTTAAATGCAGCGAGGTACCAGACTTTGTATGATGAAAGACAAGCTGTGAAGCTTTGTGTATTCAGCAAATATGATGTCCAACACTGAACAGTGACTCCGGATATTGACTACTGTTTCGTAGAATTCTTTGCCAGCGTGGTGGGAGGATATAGAATTGCTTCATAAACCCATCTTATTTCGAATGAATGTATGTAAATGAAAATATCCAATGCTGTGGAACAGTGCTCATGTAATAATGTAGTCACTGCTCTGTTGCGTATGTACATGGTCATTGTGTTGCCTAGACATTGCTGACGCTCTCCTTGCAACACAGGGGTTTGTTTCGTTACTTAATCTCAGAAGGGCGTGAAACTCTGGCGAGATGCTGCCAGTCAGTGTAGGAGACAGTGCTGACCTAGATAGACCAGTGGTCTGATTTAGTACAAGGCAGCTTCCTCTAGTCCTATGCGTTGCCCTCCCTCTCCATGCCACATATAATTTTCCAAACCTTTGTCATACCCCTCCATTGTTATCATTTTCCCTTTGCGCTAATTAACCCCAGATGCTTTTGCCTTTCCTTGCATGCCCTAGGCTCTTTATCATATGGAAGTTTATTATTAATATTAATAATAATAATACCCCACCCATCTGGCTGGGTTTCCCCAACCACTCTGGGCAGCTTCCAACACATATAAAAACATAAGAAAACACCAAACATTATTATTGTTGTCATTGCTACATTTGTTAGTTGCTTATGTATATTGTAGGGACGCGGGTGGCGCTGTGGGTAAAAGCCTCAGCGCCTAGGGCTTGCCGATCGAAAGGTCGGCAGTTCGAATCCCCGCGGCAGGGTGCGCTCCCGTTGCTCGGTCCCAGCGCCTGCCAACCTAGCAGTTCGAAAGCACCCCCGGGTGCAAGTAGATAAATAGGGACCGCTTACCAGCGGGAAGGTAAACAGCGTTTCCGTGTGCTGCGCTGCCTCGCCAGAGCAGCAATGTCACGCTGGCCACGTGACCCGGAAGTGTCTCCGGACAGCGCTGGCCCTCGGCCTCTTGAGTGAGATGGGCGCACAACCCTAGAGTCTGGCAAGACTGGCCCGTACGGGCAGGGGTACCTTTACCTTTTATGTATATTGTGGACGTGGGTGGCACTGTGGTCTAAACCACTGAGCCTCTTGGGCTTGCCGATCAGAAGGTCGGCAGTTCAAATCCCTGCGACGGGGTGAGCTCCTGTTGCTCTGCCCCAGCTCCTGCCAACCTAGCAGTTTGAAAGCGCACCAGTGCAAGTAGATAAATAGATACCGCTCCGGCAGGAAGGCAAACGGCGTTTACATGTGCTGCTCTGGTTTGCCAGAAGCGGCTTAGTCAGTTCCTGCACCTTGAAATAAAGACTGGGAGAGTGCCCCCCTCAAAATGAACAACGATTATCCCTCATCAAAAGCTCTTTTCCCCCCACAATGTGCTGTAACTCCAGACTACAGTTCTCAATAAGGCGCTTTGGATTTTTCACCCCCAAATAAGTTTTGAGTCACCCTCAAGGAAACATCCACGTCGCCTGCACACCTGACCTTTTAAAAAACACCATAGCATCACATCCGACCCTACGGGGGGGTTAATTTTGGCACGAGCCGCGGTCAGATATGCTCCCCTGGCCAGTAGGGGTACCTTGGGATGTGAACGGGATCCGTTCCGGAGCCCTGTTCACATCCTGACCAGAATGTAAGACAGGACTGCATGTACACGGGTTGCAGTTTGCTGCTTCTGCGCATGCGCGTGACGTCATTTTGAGCGTCTGAGCATGTGCGAGCAGCGAAACCCGGAGGTAACACGCTCCGTTACTTCCAGGTTGCCACGGAGCGCAACTCGAAAGTGCTCAACTTGAAGCACATTGAACCCAAGGTATGACTGTAATTGCTAATATACACATCTGTGAATGAGAAAATGGGGTGTGTACAGCCATCATTTCAAAGGGAATTGTCTCTTGGCCATTGATGCAGAAGATGGGGGGGTGTGTGTGTTCAAAAGCAGGGCTTTTTCCCCCAGCTGGAACTTGGCAAAACTGGGTTCTGGCACCTCTCGGGTGGGTGCCGTTGCCATTACAGTGGTGCCTCAGAAGTCGAACGGAATCTGTTCCAGAAGTCTGTTCGACTTCCAAAACGTTTGGAAACTGAGGCGCGGCCTCCGATTGGCTGCAGGAAGCTTCTGCAACCAATCGGAAGCTGCGGAAGTTGTGTCAGACGTTTGGGTTCCAAAGAACGTTTGCAAACCGGAACACTCACTCCCGAGTTTGTGGCATTCAGGAGCCAAAACGGACAAGTACCAAGGCGTTCGGGATCCAAGGTACAACTGTACGTTTCTGAGCACAATTCAAAGTGTTGGTGCTGACCTTTAAAGCCCTAAACGGCCTCGGTCCAGTATATCTGAAGGAGCGTCTCCACCCCCATCATTCTACCCAGACACTGAGGTCCAGTGCCGAGGGCCTTCTGGCCGTTCCCTCACTGCGAGAAGCCAAGTTACAGGGAACTAGGCAGAGGGCCTTCTCGGTGGTGGCACCCGCCCTGTGGAACGCCCTCCCACCAGATGTCAAAGAGAAAAATAACTACCAGACTTTTAGAAGACATCTGAAGGCAGCCCTCTTTAGGGAAGCTTTTAATGTTTAATAGGTTATTGTATTTTAGTGTTTTGTTGGAAGCCGCCCAGAGTGGCTGGGGGGACCCAGTCAGATGGGCGGGGTATAAATAATAAATTATTATTAGAAACAAGGGAGCCATTCATGGTGAGTTCCGGCACCTCTTTTTCTAGAGAAATAGTACTGCTCAACAACATATTTTTGGATGCAGGGGCATATAAATTTCAGTTCCTCGTTGAGGCTGAACGTGCAGATTTGTCTGTACAATCTTCCAACTCTGATTCTGGGAACTAGTAGTGAGCTGCTTTTAAAAATGGGTTTAGTTGCCATATTCTATCAGCCTTCTCCAACCTGTTGCCCTTTGGGAAGGACCACGGCTCAGCTGTTTTGAATGCAGAAGGTCCTCAGTTTGGTAGCTGGCATCCCCAGGTAGGATTGGGAGCGAAGAGACTCCTGTCTGAAATCCAGTCAGTGTAGACAATACCAAGCGATGATCTGATCTGGTTTAAGGAAGCTTTCCTATCTTTCTAGATCCTAGATGTTTTGGGATCGAGTGAATTCCCCACTCAGCTCACCAGGTGACCTTGGGCCAGTCAGCCAGCCTAGCCTACCTCACAGGGTTCTAGTGGAGGTGGAAGAGAACCATGCAGACCATCTTGAGATCTTTGGAAGATAAAGGTTGTCTATAAATGTAAGAAATAAATACAGTGGTACCTCGGGTTAAGTACTTAATTCGTTCCGGAGGTCCGTTCTTAACCTGAAACTGTTCTTCACCTGAAGCACCACTTTAGCTAATGGGGCCTCCCGCTGCCGCCAGGCTGCCAGAGCACGATTTCTGTTCTCGTCCTGAAGCAAAGTTCTTAACCTGAGGTAATATTTCTGGGTGAGCGGAGTCTGTAACCTGAAGCGTCTGTAACCTGAAGCGTCTGTAACCTGAGGTACCTCTGTAACCAGAACTCAAAAAAAAGAAGAAGAGTTTTTCTTCCATTGACCATTTGGGCAAAAGGGACCCACAATCTTTTGAAGTGCAGGAATTTTCAAGGGTCAGGGGTCAGTTTTGATGGGATACTTTTCACCTTGGGACGCTTCAGATGGACTCTGGAAGGAACAGCCTCTTGGCCTTCCAGAGACCTTGAGACTCTGCGTTTCTCCTTGCGAGGCAAATGCGGTCCTGCGTGTGTGTTTTGCAAACAGGAAACTGACGCTGTGCACTCAGCAGCTTTTGTGTCTTCTGTTTCACAGAAGCGAGACGCCGGAACGTTTGCTAGCGTGCTGCTTGATAGAGAAGCAGCGAAGCACCCCTTTTGGATGTTCATCAGCCGCTTTCGGTTCCCCAAATGTGGTTTGACCGAGTGTTTGCTTCTTGTCAAGTTCCCCCCCAAAAAAAATTGTTGCAGGGGAGGTCAGAGAGGTTTGGGTAGAATACAAGAACAAAAAACCAAACACGCCGGCAAACATTTTTAACTACCGCAGGAGTAAAACAAAGCATATGCATCACAAACAACAATTCCTCTTTCAAGCCATCTCCAACTAAGGCCGTGGAAACGCTATGCATTTAAAGTGCATGGCTCCCCCCAAAGAATCCTGGGAACTGTAGTTTGTGAAGAGTGCTGGGAATCGTAGATTGGTGAGATCTGGGAAACGCCCATTTCCCAGGATTGTTTGGGGGAAGATTCAAAGACAATCCATGAAACATTTAAACATTTCAGTGTAGCATGTTGTTGTTGTTTAGTCGTTCAGTCGTGTCCGACTCTTTGTGACCCCATGGACCAGAGCACGCCAGGCACTCCTGTCTTCCACTGCCTCCCGCAGTTTGGTCAAACTCATAACACTGTCCAACCACCTCGTCCTCTGTCGCCCCCTTCTCCTTCTGCCCTCCATCTTTCCCAACATCAGGGTCTTTTCCAGGGAGTCTTCTCTTCTCATGAGGTGGCCAAAGTCTTGGAGCCTCAGTATAGCATAGTATAAAATAATTTTATTTTTATTTTTAGAATACGGATAGACATCTTTTCAAAACGAGACCAAGAGTTCTTTGTGTCTAGTTTGTCTCAAATGTGACCTAATATAAATGAGATTACCCAGCGAAAACAAGCTCACGCCTTTTGTTGAGTTTGCATACATACTTAAGGTACATATATAAGGGATTGTTTATATTTTGGGAATGGTTCATAGAATCATAGAGTTAGAAGGGACTCTGAGTTTTTCCTGATGTTTAGTTGGATTTATGTCACTGCATTGTTTTATACTTTTGGGGTGTCCCATGATCATATTATAAAAGGGTAGGCCTCTATGCTATGAATCAAGCACTGCTGGGAGTCATTTCCTTTTGTTTCCCAGTGTTGTTGTTGTTTAGTCGTTTAGTCGTGTCCGACTCTTCGTGACCCCATGGAGCAGAGCACGCCAGGCACTCCTGTCTTCCACTGCCTCCTGCAGTTTGGGCAAACTCATGCTGGCAGCTTCGAGGACACTGTCCAACCATCTCGTCCTCTGTCGTCCCCTTCTCCTTGTGCCCTCCATCTTTCCCAACATCAGGGTCTTTTCCAGGGAGTCTTCTCTTCTCATGGGGTGGCCAAAGTCTTGGAGCCTCAGCTTCAGGATCGGTCCTCCCAGTGCGCACTCAGGGCTGATTTCCTTCAGAATGGATAGGTTTGATCTTCTTGCAGTCCATGGGACTCTCAAGAGTCTTCTCCAGCACCATAATTCAAAAGCATCAATTCTTTGGCGATCAGCCTTCTTTATGGTCCAGCTCTCACTTGCATACATCACTACTGGGAAAACCATGGCTTTAACTATATGGACCTTTGTTGGCAAGGTGATGTCTCTGCTTTTTAAGATGCTGTCTAGGCCTGTCATTGCCCTTCTCCCAAGAAGCAGGCGTCTTTTAATTTCGTGGCTGCTGTCACCATCTGCAGTGATCATGGAGCCCAAGAAAGTAAAATCTCTCACTGCCTCCATTTCTTCCCCTTCTATTTGCCAGGAGGTGATGGTACCAGTGGCCATGATCTTCGTTTTTTTGATGTTGAGCTTCAGACCATATTTTGCGCTCTCCTCTTTCACCCTCATTAAAAGGTTCTTTAATTCCTCCTCACTTTCTGCCATCAAGGTTGTGTCATCTGCATATCTGAGGCTGTTGATATTTCTTCCGGCAATCTTAATTCCAGCTTGGGATTCATCCAGCCCAGCCTTTCGCATGATGAAGTCTGCATATAAGTTAAATAAGCAGGGAGACAATATACAGCCTTGTTGTACTCCTTTCCCAATTTTGAACCAGTCATTTGTTCCATATCCAGTTCTAACTGTAGCTTCTTGTCCCACATAGAGATTTCTCAGGAGACAGATGAGGTGATCAGGCACTCCCATTTCTTTAAGAACTTGTTTCCCAGTGTATTTCTTATAAATTAAAAAAAATTGGTGAGGCACAAGCAAATTTTTGTTCTGAAAGTGTGGCCCAGAGAAAAAAATGTTTGAGAACCACTGCTCTGGCAGGACAGCTGTGTTGGTCTGTTGTCTGAAAACAAGCAAAGAGTCTGGAGCATCTTTTGTTACGGTGTCCTCCTGAAGGAGCATCTCCTCCCCCATCGTTCTGCCCGGACATTGAGGTCCAGTGCCGAGGGCCTTCTAGTGGTTCCCTCACTGTGAGAAGCCAAGTTACAGGGAACCAGGCAGAGGGCCTTCTCAGTAGTGACTCCCGCCCTGTGGAACGCCCTCCCACCAGATGTCAAAGAGAAAAACAACTACCAGACTTTTAGAAGAGATCTGAAGGCAGCCCTGTTCAGGGAAGCTTTTAATGTTTAATAGAATACAGTGGTACCTCGGGTTACAGATGCTTCAGGTTACAGAATCTGCTAACCCAGAAATAATACCTCGGGCTAAGAACTCGGGCTTCAGGATGAGAACAGAAATCACGCGGTGGCAGTGGGAGGCCCCATTAGCTAAAGTGGTACCTCAGGTTAAGAACAGTTTCAGGTTAAGAACGGACCCCCGGAATGAATTAGGTACTTAACCCGAGGTACCACTGTATTGTAATTTAATATTTTGTTGGAAGCCGCCCAGAGTAGCTGGGGAATAAATAATAAATTGCTGCTGCTGTTGTTGTTGTTATTTCAACTATGGCTCCCATCAGCTGGCTGGTCCACAAATGCTTGTGCCGTAATAATAACCCTGTGTGCTGCCGGACTCCTGAGCATTCATTGATCACCTGCATTGGACCGTCTAAATGCCAAGATGCATGTGATCAGAGAGAGCCTGGCATTATGCAGAAGTGCACAACTTCACGCGTCTTTCCGGTGTCTTCCCCTCCAGGCAGAAATTTCTGGCTGTTCCGCCAGCAGGTCCTGAAGCAGCGAGAGCAGCGCGCGATGCAGGAGGCGTATCTTCGCCTGAGACAGCTGCCTCGGTTCCTGGTCCCAGGGATGTGGAGCGCTCCCCTCGAGAGCTTCATCCGCCAGCCCCTGGACCACTTCAACCGGCAGGAACAGCGCACCTACAACCAGGTACGAGATGCTCGATGATCTGGCAACATCAATGGCACTTACTTGGGTTTATTATTTCAACTCATGCGCAACCACTCGTTCTACGTGCCTATTTTATAGTTTTGCTTTTCATCTTTTAGTTTCCTTTTTAAAAATAATAATAGTTTGATTTTCCAGATTAAAATCTTGCATTCACATAACGGCATAAAATATAAAAACGAGATTCCAAAGAATCTTCTGGACTTCCCTTTTCCCCTTTGTGGGTCTTATTATTCGTCCTTTCCTTCTGCATCTTTTATAAGAATCCAAATTTTTGTATCTCCATTATATCCAAAGTTATATCATTACAGTACAAGTGTTGTTCCAATCCCACTAATGATTTTAACTGTTTACAACGGTCCTTAAGATAAATTATAAATTTCCCCCATTCCTTAGAGTCAATGTGGTGTAGTGGTTAAGAGCGGTGGACTCGTAATCTGGTGAACCGGGTTCGCATCTCTGCTCCTCCACATGCAGCTGCTGGGTGACCTTGGGCTAGTCACACTTCTCTGACGTCTCTCAGCCCCACTCACCTCACAGAGTGTTTGTTGTGGGGGAGGAAGGGAAAGGAGAATGTTAGCCGCTTTGAGACTCCTTAAAGGGAGTGAAAGGCGGGATATCAAATCCAAACTCTTCTTCTTATTAAAGTTTTGGTCCTCCTGATTTCTGATTTTTCCGGTCATTTTTGCCATTTTGGCATAGTCCATCAACTTGATCTGCCATTCTTCTCTGGTAGGGACTTTATCTTCTTTCCATCTCTCGGCTAATAGTTTCCGCACATATACATAAATAGTCTTTTCTGCTCCCTTGGAATTTCGGCACCTAGAATTCCTAAAAGAAGAGCTTCAGGGTTTTTTTTTTAAAAAAAGAAGTTATTTTAAACATTTTTTTCCAATTCATTATATATCATTTCCCAGAATGCTTTTACTACCTTACACATCCACCACATCATTTAATTTTCACCTGCTGTGATGATTGTTCCCTCTGTTTTATATACAGTGGTACCTCGGGTTACATACGCTTCAGGTTACATACGCTTCAGGTTACACACTCCACCAACCCAGAAATAGTGCTTCAGGTTAAGAACTTTGCTTCACGATAAGAACAGAAATCGGGCTCCGGCAGCGCGGCAGCAGCAGGAGGCCCCATTAGCTAAAGTGGTGCTTCAGGTTAAGAACAGTTTCAGGTTAAGAACGGACCTCTGGAACGAATTAAGTACTTAACCTGAGGTACCACTGTACATTATAAAATTATTACCATCACCATTATTATTATGCTTTACATGTGCTGTCTGAATGTTGCCTTAAGGTTACCAGATGTCCCCGTTTCCCGGGGACAGTCCCCAGATTTACAAATCAGTCCCCATACGAAATCCATCGAAGTTGAAAAGTGTCCCCGGATTCATTGAAAAAAATCTGGTAACCTTACCTTAGGGAAGCCCACCCCCTCTGTAGAGTCATGCTTTGGGGAGGGGGAGTCCCTTTCACTCGTAGTGATATTCCTTCTCTTCTTTACCTCCCTAAAACTCACAGCGATTCTGGATTAACCAGGACTTCTGGCTACGCCCTGACGGACCGGTCTTCCTCTTCATCGGGGGCGAGTCTGCCTTGTCGGTGTTTGATGTGTTGGCAGGTGGGTGTCAGGCAACACCTCAGTTGCGGAGATTGGGGAACGAGGTCTCTTACATAGTCATTCATTCATGGCATTTCAACCCCGTATTTTTCTCCCAAGGTGGCACCTGTGGTTGTTATGTACTGAAGTTCTCACCCTGGGCCAGCAGGGGGATACTGTAGATAGTTCAGGTCCACATATGCAAATAAGGGATCGAAAGTGACATTCAGTGATTGGATAGTTACAGAAAGTTGTTACAGTTACGTTGTACTGGAGCTCTATATAAGCAGGCTGGCTGAACCCTTCAGTTCAGTTCTGTTCTGGCCTGTGAATAAACAAGAGCTGTTTGAAGAATCGCTGTGTTGTCTGATGTGTTCACCCACAACTTAACACTGGCGACGAGGATGGGATCGATGGACATCAGAGCGGCCACTCTCTGAGCTGAGCTGAGCTGAATCACTGAGCTGAAACACTGAGCGAAATCACGGAGCAGCGTGAGAACTTCAGTACATAACAGTGGTTCTCTTCCTCCTCATTTAATCCCCTCTACAACCCTGTGAGGTAGACTGAGAGGCAGGGACTGGCCCAAGTGAGCTTCTTAGCTGAGCAGGGATTTGAACCCTGCACTCCCAGGTCCAGCCTGACACTCTAACCACTATGCCACACTGTTTTTTTGAGATGGGATTTGCTAGAGCTTCGCCTGCAACCGCATTTGCATTGGATTGCATTGGATTGACTGAAGGTGTACGGAGCAACCCTGAGGACGTACAAAGTTCCTGCACCAGTGCTAGGATGGTTTTGTCGTCACAAATTCCTGTGAATGGTGTCTGTTAAATTGTGGGTAGACATAGCAGACGACACAGCAATTTCTCCAAAGCAGCTCTTTATTTGTAAGCTGGAACAGAACTGAACAGCAAACAGCTCAGCCGGCCTGCTTTTATAGGCAGCCGGCTGTCAACATTGTAGCAACAGCAACCCAGGGTTTCCCGCCTAAAGTAACTGACACGGACCTGAGTGAAAACTACATACACAATACTCCTGGTGGCCAGGGTGAGAACTTCAATACATAACACCCCTCCCCACCGAGATAAGGAGTTAGTTACAATCGTAATGGTTTCCTTATATACAGCACTACACGTAATGGTTCAATTAGGCACAAAGCATATCGGTTACATTTCACACACTTCCATTGGACCAACAGTGTTACATGTCCAACAACATAGCCCTTTAAATACGGTCTACTGGCCTTGTGGATTTCCTGGGCGGAGAGTTCAACAGCTTCTGAGGCCACGGCCTCCTCAGTGGCTTTCTGCAGCGTGAGGTCTGGCTTGGCGAGGAGATGCCGTTGCAGATGGATGTCCCGGACCCCGCAGACGATTTGATCCATCAGGGCATCATCTAAGTCTCGGAACTCGCAGTGCATTGCCGCCTGTCGCAGGGCGGTGGTGTAGTTGTTGATTGACTCCCCCTCTGCCTGGTTCTGGTGGTAGAACGCATGGCAGGCAGCAATCTTGGACGGCTTTGGGGCGTAGTGGTTGCGGAGCTTCTCTTGAATCGTGTCCCAAGGTGCTGCCTGGACTGCTAGAGGCGCAACCGATGCTCGGGCCGTCGCAAACACTTCAGGGCCACAAAAATGCTGAGGAAGAGGCCCCGCTTCTGCTCTACAGACCCTCTTGTCAGCTTGTTGGCTTGGAGGTAGCAGTCAAACTGAGCGAGGTAGGAGTCCCATGATTCAGAGGCTGGGGCAAACGGCAGTAGAGGCACAAGTGAAGCCATGATTCCGATGCCGACGTGGAGGCGATGGATGGAACACAGTGCTCTAGCCCAGTGTTTCCCAACCTTGTGCCTCCAGCTGTTTTTGGACTACAATTCCCATCATCCCTTGCCACTGGTCTTGCTAGTCAGGGATGATGGGAGTTGTAGTTCAAAAACAGCTGGAGGCACAAGGTTGGGAAACACTGCTCTAGCCAGAACAGTCAGCTCTGTATTGGTTCTGCTCCATGATTTCGCTCAGTGATTCAGCTCAGTGATTCAGCTCATCTCAGAGGGTGGCCGCATCTGGCTGTGCTCTGTTGTCCATCGATCCCACCTTCGCCGCCAGTGTTAAGTTGTGGGCGAACATATCAGACGACACAGCGATTTCTCCAAAGCAGCTCTTTATTTGTAAGCTGGAACAGAACTGAACAGCAAACAGCTCAGCCGGCCTGCTTTTATAGGCAGCCGGCTGTCAACATTGTAGCAACAACAACCCAGGGTTTCCCGGACCTGAGTGAAAACTACTTACACAATACTCCTGGTGGCCAGGGTGAGAACTTCAATACATAACAGCTTGCAGGCTGCATCCACAACATAATAAGAATAAATAATAATTTTACTATTTGTGCTCCGCTCATTTGACTGGGTTTTCCCAGCCACTCTGGGCGACCATATATTTAAAACACTATGAAACCACTTTTAACAATTATGGTTCCCCCCCCAAAAAAAAAACACCTCTGGGGGCTGTCGTCTGTTAAAGGTGCCGAGAGTTGTCAGGAGAACTACAATTCCCAGCTCTTCCCTATGAAAAAAGCTGAAATGTTAAACCACTCTCAGAATTGTAGCTCTGGGAAGGGAATAGAGGTCTCCTATCCGCTGTAGTCTTCGAACCTGAAGGTCCCCATCTACACAATACATTTAAAGCAGTATCATATCACTTTCAACCAGAGTTTCCCAAACTCGGGTCTCCAGCTGTTGTTGGACTACAACTCCCATCATCCCATAGTTAGCAGCACCAGTGGTCAGGGATTATGGGAGCTGGGAAACCCTGCTTTAAACATTCGGGCCTTCCTTCTCCCAGAGAATCCTGGGAACTGTAGTTTGTTAAGGGTGCTTAGAGTTCTTAGGAGGCCCGCTATTCCCCTTCCACGGTTACAATTCCCAGAGTGGTTTCCCAGTCAGTCCCTCTTCCTAGGGAACTCTGTGAATTATAGCTCTGTGAGGGCAGCAGGCAGGATCTCCTAGCCCTCTTAATGAACTACAGCTCCCAGAATTCTTTGCAGGAAGCCACAACTGCTTAAAGTGGTATCGCCACGCTTTAAATGTATGGTGTGATGGTGGCCAGAGAGAGACCTATCCCCTGTTTCTCTTTCCGGTTTTAGGACACCACGTGGAGCTGGCCCAGAAGTACGGAGCTCTGGTGGTGGCCCTAGAACACCGTTACTATGGGGCCAGCATCAATCCCGATGGGCTGCAGGATCACAACCTTCAGTTCTTGTCCAGCCAGCAAGCGTGAGTTGGCACCTGTGACTCGTATTGCAAACCCTGCATGCGTTCCTGTAATACCATAACATTTCTTTAAACATTTTACAAAACGCTTCCATTCCTCCAAAAACGTTTCCTTCATTTTTAATCTCTAATTTTGGCTTGCCGTTTCTGCACGCTCTGTCGTTTTTATAAGCCGTTGGCATCTTTTCATTGGCATCTTGCCTCCTTCCCATTTTTGAGCGTATATCGTTCTTGCCGCTGTCGTGGCATGCATAAATAAATTGTCTTAAGTCGATCACATCTGGTTGCAAAGTTCTGCCGTCTCCTTTTGCAGCTTGTCTGACCTGGCCTCCTTCCACCACTTCGTCACCCAGAAATTCAACCTGACTTCCAACAACACCTGGATTTGCTTCGGAGGCTCCTATCCTGGCTCGCTGTCTGCCTGGTTCAGACTCAAGGTGGGACCACAAGATCTCTAGTAGGGGCCAGTAGGAACAGGACAGTGCCAGAATTACTTATAAGCTAAACAAGCTATAGCTTAGGGCTCCACTCTCTTGGGGCCCACCAAAAATTAAAGGGAAATAAACACCTGGATATACATTTCCAGAATAGAAGATAAAAATAAAATAAAATAAATAAATAAAACCTACATACAGCAACAGTGTTTTGTGTTGTGTAGGCTCCTAGGATGTAAGTCATGGGCCCCGTCAGCTAGCCTGCTCCCTAAAATATCACTGGTTTGCTCATTTCTATATATAGGGTGCCGACATTCTGCATGGGCTGGTTGCATGAGTAAACAAACAAATCCCTGGGTTGCAAAATATGAGTCAGCAATATCAAAAGCAACACGATGGCCAGAAACAATAACAATGTGAAAAACTTTATGGAATAATTGAAAACATCAAAACTAACAAACAGAAGTCTCTGAAAGTCCTTAAATGAATCACGGTGCCAGACTTTACCCGGCGGAGAGCAAGTTGTGAATAGATATAATGAAAAATATTCTGGAACAGTGCTCATGCGATCTCTTCGAAAAAAGATAAGTTAATGAAGAAATTACATATCTTTCTACTTACGAGTGTTGAACTAATTGGCTGATGAAGAATTCAACAAAACAGTAGTTGTTATCTGGAAACACTCTTCAGCAGAGTTCAGAGTTGGACATCAGAATTGGACATTTGCTGATTATACAAAGCTTCATAGCTTGCTCTCCATCTTCCGTGAACACAGTCTCAAAAGTGAGTCCGTAAGTGACTACAGAGGCCAATTCTGGATCCACACGTCCATTCTCTCTCTCTCTGTTCCAGTTTCCCCACCTGGTCTTTGCTGCTGTTGCTTCTTCTGCCCCCGTCAGAGCCCAGCTGGATTTCACAGGCTACCTTATGGTGAGTTCTTGGCGAAGAAACCAGGTGGTCTTTTTGAGTTTGGGGATGGCCCTCAGAGCTCCTTGAGGCCCTCTCAAATGATGACCACACTGGTACCGAATACCAAGAAAACTAATGTTAATATGCCCAGGAACCTCACCAAAATGCTGGAGAGGGTGCACCTCCACAGGCACATACCTCCACATGTGGTGGGAGTGCCCCAAAATCCAACTATTCTGGACAACAACCATACGAGAAATATGTAAAATAACCAAGCAAGTATTAGAAATCACCCCAGAATTGGCCTTACTAAACATCTTCCAAGACAATAATGCCCACTTACACCACAAAGAACTCATAACCCACCTACTTTCAGCAGCCAGAAACATCATAACCAGACACTGGAGAGACCTGTCAGGAGTAAGCATGGACCAATGGTACCAAATAGTATGGGAAACAGCCCTACTAGAAAAATTAACCAATAAACTGAAACTGACACGGGGACAAATAGAAGAAGACGCCTTCACCCCGGTATGGCTCCCATTTATCACACACACACAGCCCAACAAGACAATGACAAAAATCCACCAACAGCATACAAATCAATATGGCTAACCTGATCCAAAACACCCACCCACCCCACTCACACATGAAAACAAAGACCACCACAGCCAACCACAAATGAACAGCCACACCCTAGGCCAACCTCTCTCACCACCAAAGTGAACAGCAGAGAACCTGCACAAGCAACGCTGACACCAAACCACCACATTTATTAAATAAAATAGAAACATCGCCACCTGATCCCACCCCCACTCATCTTCCCCCCGCCACCTCTTTCCCCCTATTCTTCCTACTGTGTCAACAAATGAAACTGATTTGTTAAAATGTTACATGGGGAAAAAATATGAGAGAAAGTCATTGCACACAGTTTTGTAAATTAAGAAAATCTTTAATACAAATACATTAAAAAAAAATAATGATGACCACACGATGGTCAAAAGTTTGCCCGTGGTTGAACTCAGCCTCGGTCAACCGGAAAGGCCTCCAGATATTTGGACTACAACTCCCATCAATGCTGGCGGGGGCTGATGGGAGTTGTAGTCCAAATATCGCCAGTTTGACTCGAAAGGAAATTATTCCTCCTCCCCCAAATACAGTGGTGCCCCGCAAGACGAAAAACTCGCTAGACGAAAGGATTTTGCGGTTTTTGAGCTGCTTCACAAGACGAATTTCCCTATGGGCTTGCTTCGCAAGACGAAAACGTCTTGCAAGTTTGTTTCCTTTTTCTTAACACCGTTAATACAGTTGCAACTTGACTTCGACGAGCAACTCATGGAACGCGGTGTGGTAGCCTTTTTTGAGGTTTTTGAAGACTTTGGTGATTTTTGAAGCTTTTCCAAAACTTTTCCGACACCATGCTTCGCAAGACGAAAAATTCGCTAGACGAAAAAACTCGCGGAACGAATTAATTTCGTCTTGCGAGGCACCACTGTAGTGAAGAAGAAAAAGCTGGAATTAATACCACAGTGTGAATCATCACATTCGAACGTAATCTTCCCATCATGCCTGAAACCCCATGTGACTTAACAACTTTGTCCTTATCCCCCCCTCACCTATCTCTCTTTGACTTCTTCCTCTCCAGGTTGTTGCCGCAAGTCTGTCCAATCCAGTGGTCGGTGGTTCCAAAGAGGTGGGGTTTTTAATATTTTCCCAGATGACTTGTTTTGGCCGTGTGGCAAAGTGCAACCGTTAAAAGTGGTTCTGTAACGCTTTAAATGCATAGTGCGGACGCATCCCTGCTTTTTGCCGCCTGTCGTGTGCTCCCCCTGTGTTTCCTTTTTTTAAAAAGAAATATTTATTTGATTTCAGAAAAAATAAACTAATAATAATAATATTATTAATAATAAAAGTTTATTTGTATCCCGCCCTCCCTGGCAGAGACTGGGCTCAGGGCGGCTAACATCAGATATATAACATTGGTATAAAATCAAACAATAATTAAATTACCTCCTAAAAACAAGTCAGGATCAAATAATAACAAAGTCGATTAAAAATCCATATAATGAGATTGCTCTGAATCTTAAGGCTTTCCCCCATCCCCTCCAGTTGTCAATATTTACAACTGCATATCAGTCCATTATCCACATTTTTTATCCATCTAAATTGTCCATAGTTTTTTTTACTTTACAAGTGCGATTAAAATTGTGCCAATGTTTTCATCTGCTTACAATGGTCTCCTAAGTAAATTACAAAATTTCCCCATTCTTTCTTTCAAAGTACCTGTCCTCACCTTCCATTTTGCTTCCCTCGCAGTGCATGGAGGCCGTGGCTGATGGCTTCTCTGCTGTGGACGCCCTGGTGCAAGATGGAGCCTGGGCCAAGCTGGCAAAGGACTTCCGCTCCTGCCAGGAGTTGGAGGGCTCCGGCGACTGCGTGGAGCTGGTGTCCAACCTGGCTGACATCTTCATGCTGGCTGTGCAGTACAACAACGAATACATGGAGTGGAGCACCATCGCCAACTTTTGTCGTGTCATGACCAACAACAAGACTGGCTCTGCCTACCAGAGACTTATGGCTGCCAACAACGTAAGCCTGCATCTCGGTGGGCAGGAGACCTTTCTAGGGCCCGGACTGAGGAGCTGTGTCAATCCTTTTCCTTTGTTTAGGACGAGAGTGTGACTGGGCTGCAACTCCAGTGTGGTGTAGTGGTTAAGAGCGGTAGACTCATAATCTGGGGAACCGGGTTCGCTTCCCTGCTCCTCCACATGCAGCTGCTGGGTGACCTTGGGCCAGTCACACTTCTCTGAAGTCTCTCAGCCCCACTCACCTCACAGAGTGTTTGTTGTGGGGGAGGAAGGAGAATGTTAGCCGCTTTGAGACTCCTGAAGGGGAGTGATAAAGCGGGATATCAAATCTAAACTCCTCTTCTCTCAGTATTATTTATTATTAGTATTACTATCTGGACTCGCACCTCGGCAGCTGTTTTGTGCGGGCGCCCACGGCATGTTTATCGCAATATGAGCGTTTTTTAAACAACAACAACAAAAGGACTTTATTTCATAAAGTTTATATGCACTTGATTATAGTGGGGGGGGGATCTAAAAGCGGCTTTTGCTCTATAAGACTCACTTCCCCCCCTAAAAAGTAAGGGGAAATGTGTGTGTGTGTTATGGAGTGAATGCAGGCTGCGCAGCTATCCCAGAAGCCAGAACAGCAAGAGGGATCGCTGCTTTCGCTGCGCAGCGATCCCTCGTGCTGTTCTGACTTCTGAGATTCAGAATATTTTTTTTCTTGTTTTCCTCCTCCAAAAACTTGTGGTCTGGTGCGTCTTATAGAGCGAAAAATACAGTAAATGATAGGCTCAGAGCAAAACACATGTGTCTGGATAGGCTTGCCTAAACAAACAAACAAACAAAATGTTTTTAGTAGGCGCCAAAAAGAGTACAATGAAAGGTACCTGCCTGATTTCAAGACAGGGAGTTCCAAAGTCTGTAAAAGTTGCTGGGAGTTGCCAGGAGACCCTCTATTCCCCTCACAGAGCTACAATTCCCTAGCTCTTTCCTGTGAAGAGAGATTGACCGTGAAACCACTCTGGAATTAATAATAATGATGATAATAGTAATAACTGAATGGCTATATCACAAGGTACCATGCAAAAATATTATAAAAAACATTAAACAATTTAAAAAGATAGATTAAAAATAACCCAGATGGAGACCCCTAGCATAGCTGGAAAAGCTTTCCAGGCCAAAAATGTCTTCAGTTGTTTCCTGTTGTGCCATCACTGACCATTAGCTGAGCTGGGAGTCCTGGACTCGCAGCGGCGTCTGAAAGGCAATTCCTTGGCCACTTCTGGGTCTGTGCAACAGCCGTTCTGGGACTGAAGCTCCTCTTATTTTCTTATATATTTATTGTATAGGTGTGGTTCACCTATACATTGGTTCATCACCCAAAGAAGAAATACAAAAACAGCAGTTGCTCCATAGACAGTAAAACCATGATCCAATCCATCTGAATTCCTTATTAAACAGAATAAAATGTAATCCTCAAATAAAATGTGCAGATTTAGATCTCAAGAGTCCCCTTTGCAATTGACTGCGAGCCCACCCAGACCTTTCTTCCAAATCTTCCTAGCTGCCACCTTATAAGTCACGGAGTCATCACTCAGCAGCCAGTTCACCCTCTGGTTAGATTTATTTCCTTCGTGAAAAAGGGTTTTGTGAATCGGTTTCTTGGGTCTGTATATAGTGGACGTTGTAGTAAGTGATGGCAAACGTCCTCTGCGTATGGTTGCCCACGCAGGCTGAGTCTCTCTTCAAAAGGTATTCCATTGTATCGCCCACCCAGGGCCGGATTTAGGTTTGATGAGGCCCTCAGCTACTGAAGGCAATGGGGCCCTTTATATGTCCAACATATATGTCCAACAAATTGTTGCTGTTTTTTGTGTGGAATATATGCTACAGTGGACGATCCAGTTGCGAACATGATCTGTGCGGGATGCACATTCGCAACCTGCGTCTGCGCGTCTGCGCATGTGCGGGTTGTAATTCGGTGCGTCTGTGCAAAGCGTGATTTAGTGCTTCTGCGCATGCGCAGCCGGCGAAACCTGGAAGTAACCCGTTCCGGTACTTCCAGGTTTTGGCGGGTCTGTAGCCCCCAAAAACACAACCTGAAGTGTCTGTAACCCGAGTTATGATTGTATATGGTAATTTACGGACCTAATAGGTATCTAAAGCCATTTGCACATAACAAATAGGAGCCTACACAACACAAAACACTGTTGCTGTGTGTAGGTTTTATTTTATTTGTTTTTTATCTTATATTTTGGAAATGTATGTCCATGGTTTTTTTCCTTTAACTTTTTTGGGGGGCCCCAAGAGAGTGGAGCCCTAAGCTATAGCTTGTTTAGCTTATATATAAATCGGGCATTGCGCCCACCTCTCTTCTTTTCAAAAGGTGTATTTGGATGGCATGAACATGACATGCACACAGAACAATCACACAGAGGCCCTGAAGGAGCTGCGCAGCACATCCATCTCCACGACAGGTGTGGGCATCAGGCAGTGGTACTTCCAGACATGTACAGAGTTCGGATACTGTAAGTGAGAGTTAACATTTTGCCCTCTGCTCTCCTCCTCCTCCACATATTATTATTATTATTATTATTATTATTATTATTATTCACCCTAAGGTCCTGGGATGGGTTATTTGTGTTGGTGAGGAGATGAGAGTTTGTTCATCTCAAATCAGACCTAATCTAAATGAGATTACCTGGCAAAAAAGCGAGCTCACGCCTCTCATTGAACTTGCATACATACTTAAGGTACATAGGTAAGAGGCTCGTTTATAATTATATTTTGGGAATCCCTCACGTTCTTGTGCATCTGCTTCGCTTTATTCTGGCTGCCCCACGATCATATTATAAAGTAGTCGTGCTCTACGTTACAAATCAAGCACGGCTGGGAGCTGTTTCTTTTCGTTTTCCAACGTATTGAGAGAAGATTTGTTGTGGCGCAAGCAAATTGTTAATCTGAAAGTGTGGCCCAGAGGAAGGTTTGAGAACCACTGACTTGGGGGCTGGCCCAGAGAAGGCCCTGTCCTGGACCTCCACCGCTGAGCTTCTGATTCCAACCAAGTGTGGGCTTTCCCATTTGCATTGTTTCCCGTGAACTTATTTTCTATCTATCTATCTAATCTATCATCTACCTATCAATCTATTTATAATATACATTTTTATTAATTTTTTTAACATATCAGTTCCAACAGTCATACAACATAACTTCTCATCTTATATAATATTTTGGACTTCCGTCAACTCCTCTGATGATTTTCCGTTTTTATCACTTATTCTGCATTTCTTACTTTCTGTATTACATATAATTATCCTTGACTAATAATTCTCTTCATAGTCTTTCTGGCAATATTTCAAATAATTCACCTTACAAAACTTTTTGCAATCCTGCTAGCGTAATCTGTTCATCACAGTTACTTTTCAAATAGTTCATATATTTACCCCAGTCTTCTAAGAATCTCTGATCCCGCCGGTTTCGAATCCTTCCTGTTAATTTATCTAATTCTGCGTAGTCCATCAAATTCATCCTCCATTCTTCTTCGTCAGTAATTCTTCTTGCTTCCATTTTTGTGCCAATAATATTCTTGCTGCTGTCATTCCGTATGACAACAACTTACAATCCTGTCTGTTAATATCATCTCCTACAATGCCAAGTAAAAATGCTACTGGCTTCTTAACAAATGTATATTTCAACATCTTTCTTGTTCCCCGTGAATTTAGGTGGCCTCAGCCTTACCTTTTGCGCTTTATTTCTCTCGCTCTAGACCAAACCTGCGACGACCCTGCCTGCCGTTTCTCTCGCTTCATGAACCTGACGACTGAGCTTGATACCTGCCGAGAGGTCTTTGGCATCCCCTCTCAGGCTGTCCAGGAGGCTGTGTCCTTCACCAACGACTACTATGGGGCCGATCGCCCCAAAGCCAGCCGTGTCCTCTTCGTTAATGGTACGGAGGGTGGGGAGATTGGGGCCCTCTCAGACGCCCGTGTGCAGCGCGTAGTTGCGAGAGAGGGAGAGACCCCCAGCTTGAAGCCTATGAAGAGCCCTGTTTTGTCAAACCAAATACAGTCATACCTTGGGTTGAAGTTGCTTCAGGTTGAGCGCTTTCAGGTTGCGCTCCGCAGCGACCTGGAAGTAACGGAATCGGTTACTTCCGGGTTTCGCTGCTTGCGCATGCGCTGGTGGTCAAAATGACGTCATGCGCAGAAGCGGCGAATCACGGCACATGCAGACGCAGGTTGTGTTCGCTTCAGGATGCGAACGGGGCTCCGGAACGGATCCTGTTCGTATACAGAGGTACCACTGTATTTATGTGGCTGGTTGTGATTGCTTGTTAGCGAGGAGAAAAGCGCTCTACACATGCTCAGAGGCAGATTTCCCCCTTCACTGTGAGGGGTGTGTAGGGTTTCTCACCGTTTGTCTGTGGAACAGACTCTTTAACCAGGCTGACTGACATCCAATACCTTTTTAAAATGTGTAATGGAAAGGGGGGGTATTGGGATTTTTTTGTTTTTATTATGTATTTTCTATTTTTTTTATTGTGATTTTATTGTTGAAAACAACAACAACAGACTCCCTCAGGAGGTGATGAACTCTTCTTTCTTGGAGGTTTTTAAGCAGAGGTTGGGTAGTCATTTGCCATGATTTATGATCATGTATGATGAGATTAGTAGTGATGTATGGAAGTGAGAGCTGGACCATAAAGAAGGCTGATCGCCGAAGAATTGATGCTTTTGAATTCTGGTGCTGGAGGAGACTCTTGAGAGTCCCATGGACTGCAAGCAGATCAAACCTATCCATTCTGAAGGAAATCAGGCCTGAGTGCTCACTGGAAGGACAGATCCTGAAGCTGAGGCTCCAATACTTTGGCCACCTCATGAGAAGAGAAGACTCCCTGGAAAAGACCCTGATGTTGGGAAAGATGGAAGGCACAAGGAGAAGGGGACGACAGAGGAGGAGATGGTTGGATAGCGTCTTCGCAGTGGAAGACAGAAGTGCCTGGCGTGCTCTGGTCCATGGGGTCACGAAGAGTCGGACACGACTAAACGACTAAACAACAACAACAAACATGTTGAGATTCCTGCATCACAGGAGGTTGGACTCTCTACAATCCTATGGTTCCGTTTCTCCTCATCCCCTTCTGTGAGTTCCATTTTTGCACGGACAGAACAAGAGATAATACCAAGGCAATTTCATTTCAAAATCTAAGCCAAGGAGGTCTGTCACCTGAGGCGGATATACGAATAAACTCACAGTAGCCCCATTGAAATAAAAGGACCTAATTTAGTCATGTTCATAAATTTCAATAGGTCTACTCTGAGTAGAGCCACAACACATTTTCCAGCGAGTTCATAGGAGCAGCGTAGGTCCCCCATCCTGGCATCAGAAGTTAGCTTCCGAGATCTGCCTCTCCCATTGGATCACACTTGCCAATCAGTTTACTTTCTCTCCTCCTCGGTGATTGATCACTGCCTTCTCTCCCCAGGTGACATTGATCCTTGGCACGCCCTGAGTGTCCTCAAGAACCAGTCCCGCTCCGAACGGGCCATTTTAATCAACGGCACTTCCCACTGCGCCGACATGAGGACACCCAGCCCCCGAGACCCACTGCCCCTTGTCCATGCCAAAGAGGTGAGAACGGCCTGGGGATTCTCACTTGAATGTTCTGGGGATAGGGGGTGGCATGGGGGAAAATAATAGCTTGGAATCCAGAACTTTTTTCAGGAAGTTCCACTTCCTCTAACCTGTCTGGTCTCAGGCTGGAGACAATGTAGGGAAGAATTAGAGCAGTGTTTCCCAACCTTTTTTGGGCAAAGGCACACTTGTTTCATGAAAAAAATCTCGAGGCACACCACCATTACAGCCCCGTGACGTCAGCGCGCAGCGTCACGCCGGGAGGGACATGAATTGCTAGCAAATTACATAATCACCTCCTTGAGGGCTGGCTCATCTTCTCCGAAGGCAGAACCCCATTAATTAACAGCACAGACTCACACCATAGCCAAGACGAGGGGGGAAAACCTCAGTCATGCACAGTCATGCACATGTGGGGGCTAAATGAGGACGAAGACCAGGCAGAGAGCAGGGTTCAAATCACCCCACCTGGCCAGGACAATCCCTGGGTGCTCCCTTGGGCCACTCGCCTGACCCACCTCGCAGGGCTGTTGTTGCGAGGATAACACGGGGAGAACCACGCGCGCCCCCGGGAGCTCCTTGGAGGAGAAAGCGGGCGATGAATGCAATGCACGAAATATATGAGAGGCGACCAGGTTTTGCAGGTGAGGGGCCCCCGCCAGCCTCAGCTTCCAACACCCGGCGCAACGACGCCGAAGTTTCCCCCCGGGCTCGGCTCGGGGAGCAGCGCTGCTCCCCCCCCGGCTCCCCTTCGCCCTCCCGGCTCTCTCTGCCGCCCACTGGGGACCCCCCTCACCTGCCAAGTCCGGAGCACCGGTGGAAGTTGCATGCATGCATGCAGGGCGCCGCGTTGCCATTGCATTGCACTGCACTCCATGCAACCCCTGCACGCATGCATTGCCTTGCACGCCCGCCAAGGGGTCTCCCCGCGGTCCGATGCGTCCCCTCCGGCGCGGATGCAGCATTGCAAAAATAAAAAACCCCCGACGCAGCCCTACCTGGGGGGCAGCCTCCGCCTCCGCCGCTCCGCCTCCGCGGGGATCCCCGGGCTCCATCCTGCCGCCCGATCTCCGGGGGGCGCAGGCAGGCTGCGCGGGGTCTGCGCGGAAGAGCCCCTGCCCGCCCGGCCGCCGCCGCTGCGCTCATTCCATGGCCGGGAGAAGAGCGCTTCAAACAAAACGCCCGGCCCGCCAGGCCACGCTGGGAAACGTAGTTTGCGCACCCCGCGCGGGCGCGGAGCCCAAGGGCGAGGGGACTACGGATCCTGGCAGCCCCCACGCCGGGGACGGAGGGGGAGAGGCCGGGTGCAGGGATGGAGGGACGGGTGGGCGAGCGAGTGAGTGAGTGGCAGCCGCCAAGCCTTGGCCGAGAGCCAGGAAGGGGCTCCCCGGAGGAGGAGGAGGAGGGAGGCGCAGAGCGGGAGGGAGGGAGGGAACCCCAGGGGTCATCTAGTGACGGCGCCCCAATCGAAAATTTGACTTTAAAAAAAAAAATCTTTCAATTTTTTATTTTTTCCCGCGGCACACCAGGCAACATCTCGCGGCACACTAATGTGCCGCGGAACAGTGGTTGGGAAACACTGAATTAGAGTGCAGAACCCTTTTAGGAAAGTTCTGTTTCCTCTTATGAAGATGATATAATAATAATAATAATAATAATAATAATAATAATTTATTTATACCCCGCCCATCTGGCTGGGTTTCCCCAGCCACTCTGGGCGGCTTCCAACCAAATATTAAAAACAATACATCGTCAGATGTTAAAAACTTCCCGGCAGAACGGTGGGGATGGAGACGCTCCTTCAGATATACTGGACCGAGGCCGTTTAGAGATTTAAAGGTCAGCACCAACACTTTGAATTGTGCTCAGGAACGTACTGGGAGCTAATGAAGATCTTTCAGGACTGGTGTTATATGGTCTCGGTGGCTGCCCCCAGCCACCAGTCTAGCTGCCGCATTCTGGATTAGTTGCAGTTTCCGAGTCACCTTCAAAGGTAGCCCCACGTAGAGTCCATTGCAGTACTCCAAGCGGGAGATAACTAGAGCATGCACCACTCTGGTGAGACAGTCTGTGGGCAGGTAGGGTCTCAGCATGCATACCAGGTGGAGCTGGTAAACACAGATTAACCTCTTGGTCCATGAACCTTGTAGTGGGGTAGGAGAGTTGAATATAATGCCAATATATTTTACATCAGGCAACCAATGCGCCCTTAAGTTTCAGATAATACATGGGTAGACAAGTCTAAAAAGCCCCAGACACAAATTTTCACGGCCCTCTAGCAGCTGTGGCGGCTGATGTACCAGAAATAATATATTTAGTGTTAACTCTGGAAATGTATGCTTGATTCTGACCCAACTAAGCCTTCTGATGTATATTTTGCTCCCCACAAATGTCTGCTTGTTAGGGTTTTAGTCTCCTTTTAAATGTTTTTGTTTTTAATTATTGTGCAAAGTACCTTGAGATGGTGGTTTAGGAGGTGGTTAATAAATCGACGGCAGTAATAAAAATGAAAACAATTGTCCCTGAATTAGGAGCACAGCCTATAAATCAGGATTCTAGTTAGGAGCCTGGCCAACCTTGGCTTTATTTTCTCTCCCTCCCCACTCTCTCCATACAGCAAATCTCCTTGCAGGTTGATGAGTGGCTGAAGTTAGCGAGAAAGATAAATCAAGGCAGCTGAGGGGCCAAATGAGAAGATGCTTCGCCAGCCCAAACCGCCGACGCCTTACCTTCGAGAAAGACGGCTTGCTCCTGCCTTGCCTTAGAGACTCACAAAACATCTTTGCATCACCTAGGAAATAACTATGCGGCACAAATGACTGTCGTTTGTTTTTTTTAAAAAAAGCTTCAATTTCCAAATACAGATTTATTTATTTTTAATACCCTTGATTCTTCACTGTTGTTGATATGACGATGATGATCTGTCGATGGAGCTGGATTTCGTAGCGGGTGGAAGATGGAGTGTCCATAAGGATGCCAATATATTTTTTCTTTTCTTTTACTGGTTTTTGCTCCTTTGCTGTCTGGCTTGTGGGATGGCGAAGCTTTTCCCATCGCTGTATCTCTGTGGGAAGAGAGAAATGTCTGCTTCGTTTCTGTGCGGCAGACTGTGGGTTAAAGGCTGTTTGTCCCAGGGGCAGGGCAGAAAGTTTGCGATGAAAGGTAGAAAACCGGGAGCTGTAAAACCTTCCTTGGTGGAGGTCTGCTGGAATCCATTTCCCAAAGCAATAGAAAACGTCTTTTCTAAGCAGAGTTTAATAGAACCTAATCATAACTTGGTACGGGGATGCGGGTGGTGCTGTGGTCTAAACCACAGAGCCTAGGACTTGCCGATAAGAAGGTTGGCGGTTCAAATCCCCACAACGGGGTGAGCTCCCATTGCTCGGTCCTTGATCCTGCCAACCTAGCCGTTCGAAAGCACCTAAAAGTGCAAGTAGATAAATAGGTACCACTCCAGCAGGAAGGTAAATGGCGTTTCCGTGCGCTGCTCTGGTTCGCCAGAAGCGGCCTAGTCATGCTGGCCACATGACCCGGAAGCTCCCTCGGCCAATAAAGTGAGATGAGCGCCACAACCTCAGAGTCAGCCACGACTGGACCTAATGGTCAGGGGTCCCTTTACCTTTAATCATGACTTGGTACAGGCAACTTCCAATTTAGGAGGGGGGTTGTGGTCTGGGCCTCCCCGTGTGAAACCAAAATTGCGTATATTGGGAGCACCCTGGAGGGGCAGCGGGGCTTGCAGAGATGATGTGGGGGGGACTGGACAGAGGAGGAATGGTGGAGACAGTCTCCCCTGTCTGACCCTTCCAGAGAAGAGGAAGACAGTATAGATTTAGAACAGTGGTTTGCAGGAGGTCACCGCTCAGAGGGGGAAAGTTGGGAAATAATGGGAGAGGAAGCGGCAGAGCCGGAGCAGCTGGCTGACACGTTGGGATGCAACCAAGGAAACGGGGGCATTTGGCAGGCCCCCAGCTGGCTCCAGCCCACCCGCTGGTGTGCCGGGCGATCTCCAGTCCTTGGTGCAGCATCTGCGACTTGAGCTTCAGAAGCTGGGGCATGCTACTCAGCAGAGTAAACACTACGCAATAGAAGTGGCGGGAGAGGCTGTGTGAGCATATTTACAAGCAGTTTATTCAGCAAAGGTAAAGGGACCCCTGACCATTAGGTCCAGCCGTGGCCGACTCTGGGGTTGCGGCACTCATCTCGCTTTATTGGCCGAGAGAGCCAGCATACAGCTTCCGGGTCATGTGGCCAGCATGACTAAGCTGCTTCTGGCAAACCAGAGTAGCGCACGGAAACGGCGTTTACCTTCCCGCTGGAGTGGTACCTATTTATCTACTTGCACTTTGATGTGCTTTCGAACTGCTAGGTTGGCAGGAGCAGGGACCGAGCAACGGGAGCTCACCCCGTTGCAGGGATTTGAACAGCCAACCTTCTGATCAGCAACTCCTAGGCTCTGTGGTTTAACCCACAGCGCTACCCGTGTCCCTTATTCAGCATACATCAGGACAAAAGGAAACATGTCCGCTCTCCTTCGTGTCCAAAGCAAGCAGCTAAAGCAAAAGCTATACATAAACGGAAGTTCCCAGCAAGCTGTGCTGGAGTGTAAACAGACAGGTGACATACAAATTCCACACATCTGTTCTTAAGGTGGAACGGAATATCCCAACAGTTATCACTAGAAAGCATTCCAGCCCCCCTGAACCCGACGATCATTGGAAGTAGGAGAGCAAAGGGCTTGGAGACAGATGGCCCTAAGTGGCAACCATGGTGGGGGGGAGGTGCTGTTGATGAATGAGGAAGTAGGAGAAAAGGGGGTGGATATTTACCAGAGCAACACCATTACTCCAAGAGGCTGCATTTCTAAGCCTCTCTCTGTGAATATTGAATAAAGAACATTGGTAAGAACTCTCCTTTCTCTTATCCATTCCTGGCAACCTACCGTAGGGGGTTGGCTCCTCTGAAGCCTGACACTGGCTGGTGAGGAAACCCTCCCCAGAGCCCAAAGAGGATGTCCTCTTCGGGCTCTGATGAGGGTCTCCTCACGAGCCAGGAGGCCTCTCCAGGGTGCTCCCATTACCGGTTTCCACTTCCGGGTTCCTAGCACTGCGTGTGTTGCATGCAAATGGAGCGTGCATAGATGGGGAGGAACCTACGCAGCAAAAGGGGAGGTTATTTTGAAAATCACTGGGTTGTATCGCAACGTAGCACTGTGTGAACGTATCAGTGCGAGGGTTTCTGCTTCCGCAAGAGAATGTTTCTCCTATCTTCTCCTTTGGTGATCCCTCGTAGCCGAGTAAGATGGTCTTCCACAAACATGGTGAGTTCATAAGTGATTGTGGAGGCCAATTCTGGATCCACACGTCCTCCCACAGTGGAGACATAGGTTTCTAGGCGGAAGTTGATCACGCAGAGGGTTTGCCAAGCGTGCCTTCCTCTTAGCACATTTCTCCCTTTCATCCTGAGTTTGAGTGCAGGGGGAGAAGTGAGGAAGACTCCTTGTGTTGTAAGCCAGAAAATAGCTTATCTCCTGAGTTTACACCAATAAAACTCAGAAATGTAAGAGTCCCACGTTGTTTATTGCAAAGCAATAGGTTACAGTCGGTTCGTTCCACAAAACTGCAACCCTGCCCAGTGGTCCAGGCAGTAGTATTTATAAAATTTCAAACAAAGCATTTCAATTTTCACCAATCATATACATCATTACCTCATTTCATGTTTAATACACACGTGCAATAAGCACTGACAATTTCTGCTGATTAAGTTCCGATTCTGTTACACCGTGTTAGTGCGCATGTTGGGAACCTGTGTTACAGTAGCCATTTGCACCATGTACCAACTTGTGTTTTAGCTTTGTTCTGTATCTTTGTGATTCACATATTCGCTGTCTTTCTGCCCCATTTTTTTTTTCGGGGGGGGGGGGGGCAACTTGCAAAATCATCAGTTTCATAAAGCAACAGGTTACCATAACTTCTCTATTAGAAGCGCACTCAAGGATTTACAGGGGTACACATTATCACATTTATTGTGGCCCTTTGGGCCGCCACCACATTCCCCCCTTTCAAGCTTAAAGGTACAAGATTACTTAGAATCATAGAATCATAGAGTTGGAATAGACCACAAGGGCCATCGAGTCCAACCCCCTGCCAAGCAGGAAACACCATCAGAGCACTCCTGACATATGGTTGTCAAGCCTCTGCTTAAAGACCTCCAAAGAAGGAGACTCCACCACACTCCTTGGCAGCAAATTCCACTGTCAAACAGCTCTTACTGTCAGGAAGTTCTTCCTAATGTTTAGGTGGAATCTTCTTTCTTGTAGTTTGGATCCATTACTTGTACCATTCAGCTTGTCCCTCAGGTAACCCATCTTGACCCTCCTGAGGCAGTTGGTGGTATTGCAAAAATAACTGTTTTTGGGCTATATTGGAAAGCATGTTAGAAACCAAGTGACGGACTAAGGCAAATAGACAAGGCACAAATACAATCAAGGCAAGGACTGCTAGGAAAAACATGGATGCTCCTTTTGCTAGGCCTGCCATCCATCTGGTCCCAAACAGATTAGACCAGCAATTGCTTAACGGGTTAGTATTCCAGACTTGTACTGGCACATGGGCTCCTTTCCGAATATCTGAGGTAATGGCACGAATTGCGCGGGGACTGACCGAGCGGGCGGCAGGGTCCGCAAGGTTCGCGGGCCAGATTAACGAGCCCAGTGGGCCGTATCCGGCCCGCGGGCCTTAGTTTGATGACCTCTGGCATGGAACAACCAGCCTCCGGTGTGTGGTTGTAGCAGAGGGCCATTGTCTCGTTGCCCGTGTCCTAACCCACACCGGGACAGGGGTTCTGCCAGTGCAAAGTCAGTATTAAGTCTTGGGACTGAAGGTGCATTCACAGATACAGGTTCGTTGCTTGGGGACTGGAGCACCAGATCACGGTTTGCATGTGAGTAAGGATGGATCGGAGTTGGCCGTGGCTCCCCCAATTTTCAGATGGTCATTTCAAAAGCGGCTGCCGAGTGGACATTCGTGGCTGCGCTGGCGGTGTCTCGTACGTGGCCTTGCTCGTCCACAAGCAGCTCCTCCCTCGAGAAAATTTCCATCTCCAGCTGCAACTCCTTCAGGTCCTGGATCTCCAACGCGAGGGTGTAGAGATGGCGGAAAAGCGCCTGGTCAGCCCTCCGCAATCTCAGCTGCACGGCAAAGAAAGCAATCATTTTCATTCTCTGTCGATGTCCTGGCAATACTATAAGCACGACACTCCATGCAATTAAAGCAATCCACCCCCACAAAGAATCATGGGAAGTGTAGTTTAAGCCTCTTGCAGAGCTGCAGGCCCCAGCACCCTGAACAAACTACAGATCCCAGGATTCTTGGGGAGGACGTTCTTTAAATGTGTTTGCAAATGTGTGTTGTGTACATTGTCTGGAGAAGTTTTATCATGTACCCAGAAGCAACTTTAGCCCACATTGCTTAAAATTTTGGGGTCTGACAGACCCAATTTGAGTCGTGTGACTCAAAATTGGTTAAGTTTTTGTTGTCTATATTTCAACAGTCCCAAAGTTTGAGAGTCAGTGGTGACCCAGACCTTGTTGCTGGTTGCGAAGGGCCCCCCATTACAATTCAAGCTTCAGGGCCCCCAAAATATAGGTCCACCACTGGCCAAGGTTCCTCACCAAGGCAAGACAATTTGCACCAATCCTGGCCCAACTGCACTGGCTGCCCATTAGTTTCCGGGCCGAATTCAAAGTGCTGGTTTTGACCTATAAAGCCTTAAATGGCTCAGGACTGCGATACCTCAAGGGCTGCCTGTCTCCATACCTACCTACCTGGACCTTAATATTATCCTCTGAGGCCCTTCTTCGTGTGCCTCCTGCACGAGAGGTCTGGAGGGTGGCAACACGAGAACAGGGCCTTTCCTGTGGTGGCTCCTCATTTGTGGAATCCTCTCCCCAGGGAGGCTCACCTAGCACCTTCATTACATATCCTTAGTTGCCAGGTGAAA